TAACCGAGCAGCTACGGTCCCTCATCCCCAGCGAGGATGTGAGAAGGTTTATTTCTCATGTTATCCGGACCTTAAAGATGGACTGCTCTGAAACCCGTGTGCAACTGACCTGTGCCAAGCTCATCTCCAGGACAGGCCTCCTGATGAAGCTTCTCAGTGAGCAGCAGGAAGTAAAGACGTCCAAGGCAGAATGGGATACGGAACAATGGAAAACTGAGAACTATATTAATGAGAGCATGGAAGCCCAGAGTGAACAGAAAGAGCAGAAGTTGAGTGAGGTGAGGACCCCACAGAAACATGAGACCCAGATTTCCCCTCATTTAGTGTATTCCAGGAAAGTGCCCACACAGGAGAACCTGGGACTCCCAGGCCATAGCTTGTCCTGGTCATGTAACTTTGGCCATGACAGTGATCTCCCACTTGACTTATTTGGAGAGTGAAATAGATTAGTGCACAAGGTGAACTGTAGGCCAAGGGTGGTAGCTCACATCTGTAATCCCAGCACTTTGGGAGGCCAAGGTGGGTGGATCACTTGAGGTCAGGAGTTTCAGACCAGCTTGGCCAACATAATGAAACCCTGTTGCCATAAAAAATACAAAAATTAGCTGGGTATGGTGACACATGCCTGTCCCAGCTACTTGGGAGGCTAAGGTCGGAGGATCACCTCAGCCTAGGGAGGTCAAGTCTGTAGTAAACTGTGATCACAACAGTGTACTCTAACCTGGGTGACAGTGAGATCTTGTCTTTATTTTGTTGAGACAAAAATAAATAAGAACCTGTAAGCTACTCACCTGGAATACTGGGGTTTTGAAAAGTTAGTTTTCATTCTGGTTTTTTTTTTTAATTAATCTTTCCTTTTTTTTTCAGCTCACAAAAGAAGTTCCAGGATATGGCTATAACAACAAACTCATCTTGGCAATATGTGTGACTGTAACACTGATTATTTTGATTACAATTTTCTGCCTCATTGAGGTAAGGACAATAATTAATTCAGGTTTTCAGAATGCAGTCCTGTCTTTGTGTGGATTCAGAGCTCACAAACTGAAAACCAAAGCCGCTTTCCCACCTGCTGCTGCTTGACATTCTTCTTCAGTCGTTTAAGGTTGAGATATGCTTTGTTCTTTTACTGTAGTGTATATTCTAGGGTTTTTAAAGGATCCTCACTTCCAGGAGAGCTCTGTGAATTGAAAACAAGTTAATCCCGCTAGATTATTTTAAGAAGTTAAGTTGATATAATAGCAAAATTTCTCCCTCCCAAAATGATGTCAACAACTAGATGTACTCACCAAATCACCCTTACTCTGCCACTCATTTATTTCCTTGTTGCTGAAATGATGAGAGACATATAATCTCCACCTCACCGAGTTGTCATCACCCTGGAAAGGAAGGAGACAGCCAATAGAGAGAAGTATTGTCTTGTAGACTTACTAGGTTCACACAGTATCATCCTTCTCCAGTGTGTAAGGCGTTGTCTAAATAGGTCCAGTTAAAGCGCTACAGGGTAGCCATCTTTTAAAAAAATTGTTGGCCACATTTTTAAGTTCTCAGGGGAGGGGGAATGTCTCATACTCGGGCCCTCCTGAGCCTAGGCCCTCTGTGACATGTGTCACCATTTCTTGGAGACCATGTGAGACATTCCCCCTTGGATTAGAGATGCTCAACCTGCATCAACATATCTAAAGCCTACATCTGGCTACTCTGGGGCGAGTCCTGTTCACAGTGCCCATTCCTGGAGCTTGCCTCTGTTTGCCTTTTGTTCAATTACATAATGTATTACTTTTCCCAACAGGCCACTGCTAGCATATTGGAAGTGATTTAATAAGCTGGCACCCTTGACGCTATGCTACCAGTCCAACCTTATTTGCCTCATTTACCATTTCCATTATTGTGGCAGCCCTCCATTCCAGCCAGAGCAGCCCCTCACCATACCCCAGTCACACCATCCGCATTTCTGCTTTTGTCTGTGCGTTTGTCCATCTAAAATGCCCTTATTTCACTCTGCCTGTGGGAGTCCCATGAATCTCTCCAAAGCCAACTCAAGTTCATCTTCATGCTTGAAACCTTCCCTGACTATTCCGGCCCTCCTGAGCCTAGTCCCTTTGTGAGATTTGTCACCATTTCTTGGACACCATATGAGAGGCTGAAGTGGGAGGATTGCTTGAGTCCGGAAGGTCGAGGATGCAGTGAGCTCTGGTCATACCACTGCACTCTAGCCTGGGCAACAGAGCGAGACCCTGTCTCAAAAACAGCCACCACCAAAAACTATCTTGGGATTTTAATAGGATTACATTAAATTTGTAGATTAATTTGAGAATTGATATCTGCACAACATTCTAGGAATGAGCTATCTCATGTCATGTGTTCATTTCTTGTTAATGTCTTTCAAAAGAGTTTTAGGGTTTCCATCATGTAGATCTTACACATCTTTTGTTAGATAAAAGATCTTTGTATTTCTGTTCCTAAATACTTCATACATTTGCATTGCCATTGTAAATGGGATCTTTCTTCCATTTTCTAATTGGTGGTACATCTGAAAATATTTGAGATTTGTGTGCTGCTCTCTTGATTTTGTTTCTAGCCACCGTACTGAATTCTCATATTACTTCCACTAAAATCTTAGTTGATTCTCTTAGGCTTCTTTGGCTGTCTAACATTTATCATTTCATATGCAAATAATGATAGTTTTGTCTCTTCCTTTTCAATACTTATATTCTTTCCTTTCCGTTTTCCTTTCCTTTCTTTTTTTTTTCTTTCTCAGGGCCTTGTTGTCACCCAGGCTGGAGAGCAATGGTGTGATCTAGCTAACTGTAACCTCAAACTCCTGGGCTTAAGGGATCCTCCTGCCTCAGCTTCCTGAGTGGCTAGGACTACAGGCAGGCAGCTAATTTAAAAAAAAAAATTGTTTTTAATGTTGCCCCAGGCTGGTTTTCCAGCCACTTTAGAGGAAGGACTCGGGTTTCCTTTTTTTTCTCCTACTTTTAAGAGTTTTTTTTAAATGAGGAATTGTCCGTTGAATGTTAGCTAAAACAGTCAATATAATGTATTAAGTGCCAGCTACACGCAAGACCCTAAGTTAGATACAGTCAGCCCTCTTCATCAGCAGGCCCACATCTTCAGATTCAACTGGATGAGGCTGAATACTTGAAAAAAGAAACGAAAATACAAATAGAAAGTATAACAACTCTCACCATTGTACAATATCGATACATTTTATTGGTGATGACTTAAAGTACCTGGGACCAGGCACGGTGATTCACACTTGTAATCCCAACACTTTGGGAGCCCAACCTGGGCAGCATAGTGAGACCTGGTCTTTACTAAAAATAAAAATTAAAATTGGCCAGGTGTGGTGGTATGCACCTGTAGTCCCAGCTACTCAAGATGCTCAGGTGGGCAGATCACTGGAGCCCAGGAGGTTGAGGCTACAGTGAGCTGTGATTGTGACACTGCACTCCAGCCTGAGCAACAGAGGGTGATCCTATCTCTAAGTAAGTGAATAAAGGATTTGGGGGGATGTGTGTTAGTTATATGCAAATACTGCATCATTATATATAAGGGATTGAGCATCCACAGATTCTGGTATGGTGTGGGGGCGGTATCCTAGAACCAGTCTCCCGCAAGATAGCAAGGATGACTGAACTGTGGAAGAATCAAAGCTCTGTTGAACAGCATACAATTCCTGTCTTCAAAAAAGTTATCTCATCAGGTAGATGAGACTTATAATGAATAAAAGGAACGAATACAGATTTGGAGATAGTGGTTGTTGTGATGGATAATCTTAATTGTGTTTTCTTCCAAAATAGATTCATTCGAAGAAGAGAAGGGCATCAAAGGAAGATAACTTGAGCCCAAGCTAAGTCGTCTGGATGGCCTGGAGCCATGTTTGAAAAATTTTATTGTTAAGTATTGTTTTTTACTGATTAAATCAATGATAACATTCTTTACTTTGTGGTTGTGTTACTCAAAAGAAGGATTTTTAACAATGATAAAAATAAAGCTTGTTAGATCATTTTTAATGTAATAAATTGCTTCCTGAAGATTTGATTAAAGAGAAAACTAGGCCAATCTAAGCAGAGTCCAAATGAAGTAGAAGGTCCATAGAGAACAGGGGAAAAAAGGAAGTTGTGGAACCACAGATACAGTAAAAGGAAAAAATTGGCTGGGTGCCATGGCTCACACCTATAATCCCAGCACGTTGGGAGGCTGAGGTGGGTGGGTCGCTGGAGCCCAGGAGTTAGGGCAACATGACAAAACCCTCATCTCTACAAAAAATACACAAACAAAAAACATTAGCCAGGCATGGTGGTGTGCACCTGTAGTCCTAGCTACTTGGTAGGCTGAGTTGGGAGTATCGCTTGAACTTGGGAGGTGGAGGTTGCAGTGAGCTGAGATCGAGCCGTTGCACCCCAACCTGGGTGACAGGGTGAAAGAGTGAGACCCTGTCTTTAAAAAAAAAGAAGAAGAAAGAAAATAAAAGAAATTTACTTAATTAATCTATTTTTGTGACAAGGTCTGTTTCTGTCTCCCAAGCTGGAGTACAAAGGCATAATCACAGCTCACTGCAGCCTCAAACTTCTGGGCTCAAGGCATCTTCCTGCCTTAAAGGACTCCCAAAGTGTTGAGATTACAGGAATAAGCCACTGTGAAACTATATATATATATATATATTTTTTTTTTTTTTAAACAAAGTTTGGCCCTGTCACCCACGCTGGAGTGCTGTGGTGCAATCTCAGCTCACTGCAGCCTCTGCCTTCTGGGCTTAAGTGATCCTCCTGCCTCAGCTTCTCAAGTAGCTGAACTACAGGCACATGCCAACACGCCTGGCTAATTTTTGTATTTTTTGTAATGAAAGGGTCTTGATATGTTGCCCAGGCTGGTCTTGAACTCCTGGACTCAAGTGATCCTCCTATCTCAGCCTCCCGAAGTGCTGGGATTGCAGGCATCAGCTACCACACCTGGTTGTCTCTAACCACTTTTAAGTGTACAATTCAGTAGTGTTAAGAACATCCATATTGTTGTACAACAAATCTCCAGAACTTTTTCATCTTCCCAAATTGAAACTCTGTACCTATTAAACACTAACTCCCCATTCTCTCCTCCCAGCCCATGGTAACCACCCTTCTACTTTCTGTCTCTATGAATCTGACCACTCTGAGTACCTCACGTGAGTGGAATCACACAGTATTTCTCCTTTGGTGACTGGCTTATTTCTCTTGGCATAACGCCCTCCAGGGTTCTCCATGTTGTAACGCGTCAGAATTTCCTTCCTTTCAAGGCTGAAGAATATATCGTTGTATGGATCAATCACATTTGCGTTCTCCATTCATCAGTTAATGCACATGTAGGTTGTTTGCACCTTTTGATCATTGAGAATAATGCTGCTGTATACATATGTGCATGTGTTTCTGTATGACCATTTGTTTGCAATTCTTCTGACTATATATGTATGAAGAGAATTACTGGGTCATGTAGTAGCTCTAAGTTTAACTTTTTGAGTAACTGCCAAAGCATTTTCCATAGTGCTACATGGTTTTACATTCTCGCTAACAATGTATAATGGTTCCTGTTTCCCCAAATCCTCCCCAACACTTTTTATTTTTTTTAAACAAATACAGCCATGCTGGTGAATGAGAAGTGACATCTCATTGTAGTTTGGGTTTTAATTTTACAATATTTTAATTTTTAAAATCAAAAGAATATACTTGGCCTGAGGTAGTGGCTCACGCCTGTAATCCCAGCATTTTGGGGGACCAAGTTTAAGACCAGCCTGCCCAACATGGTGAAAACCCATCTCTACTAAAAATATGAAAATTAGCCAGGTATGGTGACAGGTGCCTGTAATCCCAGCTACTCAGGAGGCTGAAACAGGAGAATCACTTGACCCGGGAGGTGGAGGTTGCCATGAGTTGACATCGAGCCGATTGAACTCCATCCTGAGAGGAGACGCTGGCTAAAAAAAAAAAAATATACTATATACTATATCATATAATATATAAATACATACACGTAATTATTCTTCCTTGTTCAGTAACTAAACATTATTTTACAAAAGAAGTCCATTAGTAACACACACTTGCACACAAAGCACAAGACACATCTAAGGGCCAGGAGTAGTGGCTCACGCCTATAATCCTAGCACATTGGGAGGCCGAGGCAGTCAGGTCACTTGGGGTCAGGAGTTCGGGACCAGTCTGGTCAACGTAGTGAAACCCCGTCTCTACTAAAAATACAAAAATTTGCCAGGCGTGCTGGTGGGCGCTTGTAATCCCAGCTGCTCGGGAGGGTGAGGCAGGAGAATCACTTGAGCTTGGGAGGTGGAGGTTGCAGTGAGTAGAGATTGCACCACCGCACTCCAGCCTGGGCGACAGAGCGAGACTCTTATCGTGGAAAAAAAAAAAAAAGGGAGGAGGGCATTCCCATTGGCCACGGTCCTCATCTTGCCATCTTTGTTGACTTTCCTTACTTACCTGGTCCGTGGAGGCATATACACATATTCACATTTGCCACCCTTGGTGCTCAACCAAAGTATATTGAATACATTTATTTGACAATTAGTGCTCGTATTTTTTCATTTCACATATGTGTTCTGTTTTCCTAACTAGATTGAAGTAAGCCGCCGTGCACGGTGGCTCATGCCTGTAATCCCAGCACTTTGGGAGGCAGAGGCAGGCGAATCACCTGAGGTCAGGAGTTCGAGACCAGCCTGGCCAACATGGTGAAACCCCGTCTCTACTAAAAATACAAAAAAATCAGCCAGGCGTGGTGGTGCACGTTTGTAATCTCAGTTACTCAGGAGGCTGAGGCACAAGAATCACTTGACCACAGGAGGTGGAGATTGCAGTGAGCCAAGATCATGCCACTGAACTCCAGTCTAGGCAATAGACTGGGACTCCATCTCAAAAAAAAAAAAAATTCCTTGGCAGTTTAATATTAGATAAATTTCTTGGCAGTTTAATACTAGAAATGCAACTTGGCAACGTGAGCTAAGCTTTTACCTGAGAGTCATAATGTAAAAGAGAAAACTTTGTATTTTTGAAAAGGAAATTCAGGGCCGGGTGCGGTGGCTCATGCCTGTAATCCCAGCACTTTGGGAGGCTGAGGTGGGCGGGTCACTTGAGGTCAGGAGTTCGAGACCAGCCTGGCCAACATGGCAAAACCCCATCTCTACTAAAACTACAAGAATTCGCCAGGCATGCTGGTGGGAGCCTGTAATCCCAGCTACTCAGGAGGCTGAGGCATGAGAATTGCTTGAACTCAGGAGGTGAAGGTGGCAGTGAGCCGAGATTGCGCCACTGCACTCCAGCCTGGGTGACAGAGCAAGACTCAGTCTCAAAAGTATAAAATAAAATGAAAATAAAATAAATGATTGAATGAATTAAATGGATAAGCAGAGGAATCTCTGAACTAAATCTTGAAGAATGTCAAGTATAGTCAGTTCATGGAACTTACTGTATAACGACATTTGGATGCAAGACAATTTTCGGAAACTGCAAAGAGTTGCTTTTGAAGTAACTGAAAACAAATAGTCTAAGTAGCTGAATGCCCCTCTCCCCACTCTTTTAAGTGAGAAAAAAATTTGCCATCTTGTGCAGTGTTTTGTTTTCCCTATTTCCCCTGTCTTGAGCAGGACTGGCACTAGGCATAAAATACCAAATTCTTCTCATTAGTTGCACCTACTTGTATTTTTTGAGAACTAATTGCTTAACTCATTGGATCACAAAGTTTTGTGTTTACATTATGACTCTCAGGTAAAAGCTTAGCTCACGTTGCCAACTTGCATTTCTAGTATTAAACTGCCAAGAAATTCATCTAATATTAAACTGCCAAGGAATTTTTTTTTTTTTTTGAGATGGAGTCCCAGTCTATTGCCTAGACTGGAGTGAAGTGGTGCGATCTCGGCTCACTGCAACCTTTGCCCCCAGGGTTCAAGCAATTCTCATGCCTCAGCCTCCCAAGTAGCTGGGATTACAGGCACCCGCCACCATGCCTGGCTAATTTTTGTATTTTTAGTAGAGATGGGGTTTCGCTATGTTGGCCAGGCTGGTCCAAACTCCTGACCTCAAGTGATCCACCCGCCTCTGTCTCCCAAACTATTGGGATTACAAGTGTGAGCCACTGCACCCGACCATGTTAATTTAAGAATGAACTCTTGATTATTTTTTATTTTGGAAGATCTGCAATAGTAGACTGGAAGCTCCTTAAAGAGACAAACTGTCTTCTTCCCTTTTGTGATGTGTTGTCAAAGGACTGGGTGACTTTTTTAGATTGGGAGGTGTGAAGAACCTCTTAGGAGGAAACAATAAGCTGATGTGAATGACAAAAAAGAGCCAGGCCTAGAGAGAGTAGGAGAAAAGAATATGCCAGGTGGAAGGAAGAGCAACTGCTCATTCAGGTGGAATAACCTCGGCAAGTTGAAGGAACAGGAAGAATATGAGTGTGGCAGAAGCAGAGTGGGAGAGAGAATGGTGGGAAGTCAGGTCTGAGAGGCTGTAGCTAGATCAGGCAGTGTTTTGTAAGCCAGTACTCACATCCACAGATATATGTGGATTTTATATCAAATGCCATTAAAATAAAGTCATTTAAATACATAGTCGATGACGTGCTTTTCATTTGTGTTTCTTTGGTGCTTAGAGACTTCAGGTTTGCTTTTACTCAGAGTTCTTGAAGTCACTATACTTGTATTAGTCATTCTGTTTTCAGATATGATAAGTGATTGTTACTACAGTACATACATTGTCTAGAGAACTTTACTTTTGATATCTAAATTGAAAAGGTCTTTTCCTTGTTAATTTTCAATCGACTGGCATCCGAATATTCTAGCCCTGGCAGACAGACCTCTTAGCTGCTTTGTTGATGAGAACACTCCAGTTAGTGGAACAAACGGTGCAACATGTGGAC